GACAGAGGGATTTCTTTCTGGGTTCTCTGTTCTGTTCCATTGGTCTATGTGTTCCACTGATCTATATGTCTGATTTTATGCCAGTACAATGCTGTTTTGACTACTATAGCTCTGTAGTATAATTTGATGTCAAGTAATGTGATTCCTCCAGTTTCGTTCTTTGCTCAGGATAGCTTTGGTTATTCTGGGTCTTCTGTAGTTCCAGATAAATTTTAGAATTTTTTATTTTCTATTACTGTGAAGAATGCCATTGGTATTTTGACAGGGATTGCATTAATTCCATAGATTGCTTTGGGTACAATGAACATTTTAACAGTACTGATTCTTCCATTCGAGGACCATGGAATATCTTTCCATTATTTTGCAAACTTTTCAATTTCTTGCAGCAATGTTTTATAGTTTTTATTGTAGAGATTTTCTACTACTTTGATTAAGTTAATGTCTAAGGGCCAGGCGCAGTGGCTCACATCTGTAATCCCAGCACTTTGGGAGGCCAAGGCAGGCGGATCACTTGAGGTCAGAAGTTTGACTAGCCTGGCCAACATGGCGAATACCATGTTTCTATTAAAAGTTCAAAAAAATTAGCTGGGTAGGCCAGGCACAGTGGCTCATACCTGTAATCCTAGCACTGTGGGATGCTAAGTGGGGTGGACTGATCACCTGAGCTCAGGAGGTCGAGAACAACCTGGCCAACATAGTGAAACCCCGTTTCTACTAAAATTACAAAAAAAAATTAGCCTAGCGTGGTGGCCGGCACATTTGCACAGTACAGTTTGAGAACCATAGCCTCTATTGGTGATAGTCTGAGTAACCAAAGTTAGAGAATCCGAAGAAGGCAGAGCCCAAACAGCAAACTTGAAAATACTGGTTAGAAGCCCTCTTACCTCAAGTTTTTCCTCCTAGTATTAAACCTTGAAGGTTTTAGAGTTTTAAAATGAAGGCAGTATTCCTTAAATACATGATTTTTCTAACTTGGGTTTCATGTCCCTCCAATCCAATCCTCTACATTGCCGTCTGTGGAAGCCTTTTACAACTAGACTTTGTCTTTTGTTTCCCCTGTTTCAATGGCTCTCCACCTGAAGTCCAAATTCCTTACTATGAAATACGAGGGTCTTCAAAACCTGACCACTGCCTATCTTTCACCATTCCTGCATATACTCCCTCTACCAGAAGTCTGCAAACCAGTGGAATCACCGAAGCAGCTGGGCATTTTTTAGAGCTTTTCGGGTGATCTTAAGAACAGTAGCAGCTGAGAATCACTGTCCTTTCTTGAACCAAACCACTTGTCATACTCCCATGTAAAAAGCAAACGCATATCCTAGTCCCTCTGCATGCCTTCTTTTCATACTTTGCCCTGTCTTCTGGGATGAATTCGCAGCCTCTCTTAAAAACTCAACTGTCATCTCTTCTCTGAAGGAAGAACTCTTTGCTTCCTTTCTCCTACAGGCAAATGGAATTGGTTGTTTCTTGCACTTTGTTTCCATAGTATCTTGTGCTTACATCTGTTACAGTACAGCCCACATTGTTCATGAAGCAGACTGTCTAAATGTTTGTCTATTCTACTGAACAGTGATTTCATCTGAAGGCACGGGTTGTATCCTATTCATCTTTATATTCTTTGATTGGGCACAGAGACTAGAAGTTAATAGATATGCAATAAATGTTTACTGTTTATTGAAAATACCCTGAATTGTTTTGAGCCTGTTGAATGGACCAGGAAAGATGTAAAAGAAAACAAAATCAAAACAGTATCTTTCTACCTACCATCCTATTTCATTTAGGAGAGGAAAAACTTTTTCATTCTATTTAATTCCACATTTAGAAACAAAAGTCAGATTCATATATAAAATAAAAGTGAAACTGAAATAAAAATTTCACTTGAAGTAGATCAATCAACAATGACAACTGGATGCCTTCCAGTTTTAATAGTAAGGGTAGAGGAAAACAGAAGATTCTGGATGTCTGATAAGAGTACTGGGAAGGAGGAAAGGAATTACAGAAAAGGGACTGCATTGAGTTAAAATCATCACAAATCTTAGGAGAAATTAAATAGCAAATGCCCAAATGGTTAACTAAAATAGGGTATGCAAATTAATTATATTAAAATATGGATACAAATTCCAAGAATCCAGAGGGAAGTAAGGGTGGTAGGAGATAGCATTTTTTTTTCAAGTAATAAATCAGCTGGGCATGGTGGTTGACGCCTGTAATCTCAGCACTATGGGAGGCCGAGGCAGGCAGATCACAAAGTCAGGACTTCAACACCAGACTGACCAACATGGTAAAACCCCGTCTCTACCAAAAATACAAAAATTTGCCAGGTGTGATGGCACACGCCTGTAATACCAGCTATTCAGGAGGCTGAGGCAGGAGAATTGCTTGAACCCAGGAGGCAGAGGCTGTAGTGAGCTGAGGTCATGCCACTGCACTCTGGCCTGGGTAACAGAGCAACACTCCATCTAAAAAAACAAAAAAAGTAATAAACCTTCCAGTACTATTTGTTCCCCAAACCAAAAACTACTATTTAAAAAAGTGTAGTAAATCAGGGAATGGATTACCAAAAGAATAGTGACATCAGGAGACAATGAAATACTACATAAACTTTACTACTAGGAGTACTAGGAAAAGAAGAGTACTTCTATCCTGCAACTGTTTATTTTCAACTTTACTTAATGATTTATAAATATCTGTATTTTGATATATATAAAATTTTATCCCAAAGGAATTAATTAATTAAGGTATCTACTATACAGATAAAACCTGCAAATCATTTTCCAGATAAGCAACTTCTTAAATGGAAAGATACACTAAAATAATAATAATAATAATGGTAATAGTCATTACTTCTTTGAATCTTAAGCACAATGTATAATCTGTAGTCATTTCTATAATACTGTGCCACTAGACTTAACCATTAATTTGTAAAAAAGACAGAGAATGCAAAACAGCAAAAGCCAAAAGATTTTTTTCCCCCTCTTAAGACAGGGTCTCACTCTGTCACCCAGGCCGGAGTGCAGTGGCACAATCATGGCTGACTGCAGCTTCGACCTCTTGGGCTCAGGTCTTCGTCCCATCTCAGCCTCTTGAGTAGCTGGGAATACAGGCATGTGGCACCATACCCAGCTAATTTTTTGTGTTTCTTGTAGAGATGGGGCTTTGCCATGTTGCCCAGGCTGGTCTTGAACTCCTGGTTTCAAGCAATCCTGCCTCAGCCTCCCAACATGCTGGGATTACAAGCGTGAGCCAACGTACATGGCCCAAAATATTTTTCAAGATTTTCTATTGCTGCCCCAAATGTCAAAACTTCAATATAGATAAAGCTAAGTATATCTAATGATTAACCAAATTGTGTTTCATGGCAAATGCCTCTATGGTCTTTTAAAAAACAAAAACATGTTTTAACTAAAAATATAGCCAAAAATGATCCTTGGGTTCTTTTTTAAAAGGAAGTTGAATTTTCTTATGGACTAACTCCTCTGAAAAAAATCCAAATACTAAAATCTGTAACTTATATTTGGAATATGGGTACCTATAAAGAACATATAACTGTGTTTAAGTGATCTAACTTATGCCATGTTTTGCTTTTTTAAAAATATCTATCAAAAATATCATATTTAATGAACAGAAAAGATAAGTATCTAAAATTATTTTATTGCTCTTCATAAAACAAATGCCTATGAAACAGGAGGCAGGTGAAATTACTAAATATTCCCAATTCTGGGAAAATATCAAGGAATGTTCCAAAGTCCAGAAAATATAAAGTGAGAACATTCTTGATAGGTTTTAAAAAACTTTGACTAGAGCTAAAACCTACAATTTTCAAAGACTTAGTATGTTAATTTTTAAAAAAAACTAAACTGATAATCTGATGCTACAGGGGCTACTAACGCTTACCTCAAGGGAACCTACTGCAGATAAAGTCCCGTCACTTGCACAGTTCTTTCAGCTGCCTGCCAGTTGTTTCTGTGGAAGGGAAAGCCTGATGAGTGAGAGCCCTATGCCATACTCCTTTGGAGTGTCAGGGTGCCTGCACAGAACTGCACACAACTGTCTATCTAAAGATTCCTAGATGCTTTCAACAACACAGAGCTAAAAAGATGCCACCTTTGAAGTTCCCTTTCCTCTGAACACTGAAATAAAATGCCTAAGAGTTTTGAGTGCTAATGAACTACTGGTATTATCAAGATGATAGGTCTACACTAACCCAAGTAGAAAAAAAGACAAAAATGGATCAAGTAGAAATAAGATTGACAGGGACAACACACACCCGCACGCACGCACGCACGCGCCAGATCTCTATCATCCAAGGAGAGAAAAAGCTATATCCACCAAGAGTCGAGCTGTAACATCAACCTGTGAATGGTAAAACCCAAAGGACTTCCTGTCAACACATTTTTAAAAGACATCATCAAGCATATCATGCTCAAAGTAAATTATACCATGGCTCCAAATGCCTGCTTGTAAAATCCCAGATATTTTCTCGGTGGGGTCAGTAAGGGGAGAGATTAGAGAGGAGGAGATTCTTCAGATTTTTTTAAAGTACAAAAAGTGCAAACCAGCAGCATGATTCCATAAGAAATTCTAAAGAGGGGAAAAATGTGTATATGTATCCCAGAAAGTACCCAAATTCTTAGTAAGCATCAAACTAAAAGGAAAGAATAAAGGGAAATAATAGAAAACTGGGCAACCCAACATACTTAAAAACCACCTTTGTCTCATAGAATTATAAATGGCTAATAACTGTTTCCAGTAAGAACATATATACATCATTCATTTACAAGTTCAGTTACATAATAGAAGAAACTATATCTTCTTTCTAATGCCAAATGCAGTCTTCAAACTGAATGTTATCCTTCATAAGGCAGGACAAAACATTCCTATAAGAAATTTTAAAAGCATTAACCTTTAGCAAAAGAAGTGAGGAAGAAACGAAAAACTAATTAAAACGGTGATTCCAGCTTTTACTTTAATAGCATCATATTTAAAATGAAATTACTTACCTCTGATTCTTTGTCACTTAAAGATCCCAAGCTTCCAAAACTGTGATTAGAGCTTTCATTATTTGTTGAGGCCTGTTAAAGATTTTTAAGAGGTAAAAATTAGGAGTAATTTTTTAAAGCGGTGGGAGTAATTTTAAACAAACATATTAAAAGTACATAATCTATATTCATAAGTAAAAATAAAGTATGATTCCTTTAAACAAAGAAGCCAAATCAGGTAAAAATAAGAAATACCAAGTTCTTAACACTATAAATACCTTGAAAAGTTTTATCAAGTCAATAAAGTTCTGCTGTGCTTTAGGAACTGACTTTATTAGATGATTTTTTAAGATCCCAGTTAAAAAGCAAAGGAATTGGGCCATTGTTAGGATAACAAGATCCCTAAAATTATTACCCAATATATTAAAAACTAATGCCGTCTTTGGCTGAAAGTATTACTTGGGCTCTTCAGGTCCCTTCACAATTATCAAATTCCATCATGTCTCATACACATATCTTTGCCTTTCTCTGTATTAACAAACTGTCCCTGTTTATTATTATTATTATTATTATTATATTATTATTAGTTTTAACACAATCTCTTCAAGAAAAAAAATGACCATCCTGACCGCTTTGATTGCTTTAATTGCTTTGCTCAAGCATTTCTCCATTTATTTCCTTGACAAATATTGTTGAACTGTAGCAAAGAAAAAAGAACTAACATTCTGTAGGAGGAGGTCTGCTTTGTTTCAAATATGCTTCTATGATGCTTACTATCTTGTGGACTTTTTTGTACCATCAGTACATCAGATCAAGGTCTTCCAGAAGGCTGGAACACCTCCTAGGCCAGGAGGCTGACAGATTATGGCATATATGCCAAAGATGATGCAAGAGTTAACGTTACATACAGGTAAGCCAGTTGGTACCTTTATGTTTCATCTCCATGTATAAGAGTAGTAGCTGCTAATACTACTATGAATAGGCTGAAAGTTGGACTATAATTATATAATTGAAATTAGATTAATTTCCAAAGTGACAACTCTGAGCCATTGCATACATGTCTAGTACTATGCTGGATACAGTAAAAGCTGCTGTCAACAAAGAATAGGACTTGAACTAATTACAACTCAAGTAGTACTTGAAAGAAGTTATAATCTAATTATGGCAAGATTATCAAATTTGAAACAACAGCAGCAATTAAGAAGTAATAAATTAGATTCTGGGGCAGTAAGAGCAGTGGCAAAGTGTTTGAACATCTGTAAATGCTGACCAAAAAATTTATATAACTGAACAGTAAACCAAAAACCCACAGACAATATTTACAACAAAACTAGGCAACAAGAATCTCCATGAATCCCCCCTCAAAACAGCAGATGAAAACAAGTCAACAACAACCATAGATAATGTATGGTATCATTATCAGTATGGGAAGAAGCAGAAAGAAACAGATGTCTGATAACCAAGAACAAAAGACACCTATAACAGCCAACAAGTTAAGTACAGAAGCTAAGTTAACTTAAGTACGAAAGGTTTTGCATATAAGCGGAAGGAGGTCACAGTGAAGGGTGACGTTAAAGCAGTCTAGCCTCTGCGAATCCTTGAAACTGATCTTTACATAACAGGGTAGTACAATGAGCATAAATTACTGGGTGTGGAATGAAAACTGAGTACTATATAGGTAAAATGACAATAATGGAAAGAGAATATTCAGACAAAATGGGGAAGGAAGGAATGCAGCCTAATCTCAGAAACTAAATGCCATAGTTTTGAAGCATGTCTAAAACAGCAGCAGGGACAGCCTTGTAAGAAAAGCTATCCTGAGCCACACCTCCCATTTAAGTGTCCAGGAAATCCAATTTCATACAAAAGCAGGCAAAAGAAAATTATGTAGGTCATACAGGTATTATAAGGAAAAAGAAAATAAGATAAAGAATAACATCCAGATAATAAAAACATACCAGGAACACACATCCACAAAATAGGTAAAAATTCTAATCTAGTATTTTTTAAATGAGCTAAAATATATTACAAAAATGACACAAGACATGAAACAACTATGTAAGCTGGATTTCAAAAAACTCAGAAAAAAGGGAATAGAACTCAAGAAAGCATTAGAAATAGAAGAAAAAAATCATTTCAGAAATAAAGATTAAATCTGAATGCACCCAAGAGCAAATATATACAACGATAATGCTTTAAGAGAACTAGAAGGCAAAAAAAGAACATTTTTGAAATCAAAAGAAATGATAAAAAGGATTTGAGAGTAAGCAACAGCTGATGAATCAACAAAGATCAATAGACAGATAACAGAAGACCCTCAAAACTACTAAAGACAGAAAATAATAAAAACTGTAATTCAAGAAAATGTCTCTGATAGCTAAGCACAGTGGCTCATGCCTGTAATCCCAGAACTCTGGGAGGCCAAGGTGGGCAGATCACCTGAGGTCAGGAATTCGAGATCAACCTGACCAACACGGTGAAACCCTGTCTCTATTAAAAATACAAAATTAGCCATGCATGACAGTGCACACCTGTAATTCCCAGCTATTGGAAGGCTGAGGCAGGAGAATCACCTGAATCTGGGGCGTGGAGGCTGCAGTGAGCTGAGATCACACCATTGCGCTCCAGCCTAGGCAACAAGAACAAAACTCCATCTCGAAAAAAAGAAAAGAAAATGTCTCTGACATTTTCAATTGTCAGTCTCTTGTTGTCGGTTGTCATTTTTTAAACATTCAATTAAAAAAACTGAAATTACTGATTGACAGCACCACACACACCTAAGAATAACAACCCAGAAAGCCAACATCAAAGGGAAACACTTTATGCCAGAAGAAAATGGAGTGACATAAGATATTCAAGGAAATAAAATAAAAGCAAAGTGTTTTATATTCAGTAAAATCGATTTTAAACACATGGAAAGCACACATAAACGGTTACCAAAATTGCAAGCAATTAGGGAACCCTGCTTCCATGAGCCCTTCCTAAAGAATCCACTACAGAACAAGCTTAAGACAACCAAAATGTATGGTTTATCAGCCTAAGAACTGAAGGCAAGCAATAATATGACTTATTGTTGAAAAGATTAAAGAACAAGAGAGAATATAAAATATTTAATGACTAAAGGCATGCAAAGTTAGTAGTACAATGTTTTTAAAACTAAGGGATGGAAAGCATATAGAAAACACCTTGGCTGTTTTCAGTACCCACTTTGTTCATTGTGCTAATGTTATTTTGAGACAGCTATGTGGGTGAAATACAGAATAAAGTAAAATAATTAAGGGATATCCAATTCTTTTCTCTACTTTATACCTTAAAGAACCATAATTCACAGTATAAAGATGCATATGAAAAGAAACCCTTTCCTGGGATATCCAATTCTATTCTCTACTTTATCTCTTCAAGAACCATAATTCACAGTATAAAGATGCATATGAAAAGAAACCCTTTCCTGAGTTTGAATTGGAAATATCAATAAAAATTCATTAAATACTATCTTTTCAAACAAACAATAAAAATGTAAGTAGACAGGTAGATGAATAAGATTCCACCACCAGTAAAAAGAGAACACCCCATTTTCCACAGATAACTATAAATTTTGGGAAAAAAAAACGATTTAAAAAAGCAACTACCTGAAGACACTGGAACAAACCAAAAGTAGGCAGAATCTAAGTACAAGACGACACTTAGAAAAAGGGAATAGAGGCTGGGTGCAGTGGCTCACACCTGTAATCCCAGCACTTTGGAAAGCCAATATGGGTAGATTACTTGAGGTCATGAGTTCGAGACCAGCCTGGCCAACATGGCAAAATCCTGTCTCTACTAAAAATACAAAAAATAGCTGGGTATCATGGTGCATGCCTGTAATCCATGGGGAGTAATACTGGGGAGTCTGAGGCAGGAGAATCACTTGAACCCAGAAGACGGAGGTTGCAGTGAGCAGACAATGTGCTGCTGTATTCCTGTTGGAGTCTACAGGACAGGAGACTACGGGACAGGACAGGACAGAAGGGATGTGGGAGGGGGAGAGAGAGGAGAGGGGAGAAGAGGTGAGGGGTGGGGAGGGGAGTAGGAAAAAAGGAAGAGAAAGAGGAAGAGGAGGAGGAAGAGGAAGAAGAAAGAAGAAAGATCTGGGTGGGAGAGTCCCAAATTCTGCATATCAACTCTGCCTACTTCTCTGGCTGGTCACTGATCTATCCAAGAATGGAGTGGATGAAAAGCAACCCAGATCAAACTAAAACAACAGGGATGTCAGTGCTGCCCTCTGCAGGGAAGGAATGTCAGTGCTGCCCTCTGCAGGGAGCTAGTTTAAATCTCAGTGTAGCCAAGTGAACTGCCTGCTAAAACAAAGAAAAACAAAAAATAGTCTCTAAGGTCACTACAATGTGTCATTCACAGTGTGCAGGATACAATAAAAATTTCTAATCATATGAAGAAACAAGAAAAAGTGTCCATACTCAAGAGAAAAGACAATAGATACTAGCCATGAAGTAACACAGATTTGGAATCAGCAAATAAATACCATAAAGCAGCTAACGTAACTCAAAGTGACAAAAGATTAGAAATTTCAGCAGAAAAATAAAAACTAAGAAGAGCTGAATGTAAACTGAAAATTTCACTTTCTAAAATAAAAAATGAATGGGCTTAACAGAAGAATGTAAAAAGACAGTACTAAAGATAGACCAAGAGAAATTACTCAAAGTAAAGAATGGAGAGAAAAATACTGAAAAATAGTGTATGTTGGACACTATGAAGCAGTCTACTGGAGTCATAAAATGAGAAAAAGCAAAAAAAATCTGAAGAAATGACAGTCAGAAAAATCCCAAAATTTGGCAAAGACAGTAATTTATGAACTGAAGAGGTCACTCAATTTCCCCAGCAGGGTAAGTGCAAAGAAAACCACACCTAGGCATATCACAGTCAAACTGCTGAAAAGCAAAGATACAGAAAAAAATCTTGAAAGCAGCTGGAGAAAATACACATGAGAACAAAAAAGGATAAAAGTAACTGCTGACTTGTCATGATAAATGCTGGAGGCCAAATTTACTCCCTGGAAATAGTAAGCTAGGAAAACTCTGTACTAAGAATGCATAAGG